TCAGGGAGGAGGAGGAGGAGGAGGAGGAGTAGGAGGAGGAGGAGGATGAGTAGGAGGAGGAGGACCAGGATGAGGGGATGGGGGAGGAGGAGAAGGAGGAGGAGGAGGAGGAGGAGCAGGACCAGTGTAAACCCAAGAGTCATCAACGATGTTAGAATTAACCCTCCCACCAAGCTCCCTCTTCATAGGTCCCTACAGCGGTTCATTTTCATTGAGCGAACTGCTTTGTTGGAAGACAACCGTTTGAAGATCCTGACGCGTGCCAAAACATGTTTCTCGGAATTTCAACGCCACGGATCAACCGGACTGCTGCGTCTTGACGATCCAGAACCGTGCCAAAACGCAATTTCTGGGATGTCAATACTGCGAATCAACGCAACCGTTGCGCCCGCGTAATCCAGAAATTTTCCAAAACGGAATTCATGGTACGTTGGTCATGGGAATCGGTGAAACTCTTGCAAATATAAAACGAATGCGCGTGGCGCGAAGGCGAGAGTCACATCTTGAAAAGGACGCCCGCAATCAGTGAAACTCATGCAAATGTTTTAAACGACTGTGCGCGGCGCTAAGGCGAGAGCCACAGTTTGAAAAGGACACGCCCTCGATCCGTAAAACGCCCTGGAAACTTTTAAAACGAATATGCGCGATGCCAAGGCGAGAGCCACATCTTGCAAACCACCCGCCCTCCATCTGTGGAGCTGTTGTCACTGTTTCAGCTTCAGAGTCACACATGGTGAGGAAGTCTCAGGCGAAACGCCCGGCCCGCCCTGAAAGCTGGCCTCGGGGTGCGACAAGGAGAAGTTAAAAGGAATGCAGGAGGAGGAGGAGAACGATAGTGAGGAGGAGGATGAGGAGGAGTAGGAAGAGGAGGAGGAGGAGGAGAAGGAGGAGGAGAAGGAGGAGGAGGAAGAGGAGGAGGAGGAGGAGGAGGATGAGGAGGAGGAGGAGGAGGAGGAGGAGGGGGAGGGGGAGGGGGAGGGGGAGGAGGAGAAGGAGAAGGAGGAGGAGGAGGAGAAGGAGGAGGAGGAGGAGGAAAAGGACGAGGATGATGATGACGAGGAGGGGGAAGGGGAGGAGGGGGAGGAGGATGATGAGGAGGAGGAATAACGTAGCACCCCGCAGATGCGAATAAGAGTGAGGAGGCGGTGGGGACGTCTTCAGTCTGCGAGACTCTGGAGAAGCCCGCCGCAGGCGCCAAAGTTTCACAACTTATGCAATGAGCCCGCCGCAGGCGCCGAATTTTCTTCAAACCAATGTGGATTGGTCGCGGGTGGGTCGCGGGTGGGTCGCGGGGTGGGTCGCGGGTGGGTCGCGGGGTGGGTCGCGGGTGAATGGCGGGTGGGTCGCGGGTGGGTCGCGGGTGTGTCGCGGGTTGGGTCGCGGGTGGGTCGCGGGGTGGGTCGCGGGGTGGGTCGCGGGTTGGGTCGCGGGGAGGACGACGACAACAAACAACAGCAACAACAACAGCAACACTAACAAAACCACCACCACCACCAACAACAACAACAACGCAACTATCATAATCCTCATCGCGGATTCTCACTTCAGCCACGCACCCAGGGACAGTGAATGACCGTTCGCCCATCACTCTGACAATAGTACTACTAATCATAATAAGAAGGATCAAGCGGTTAACCGGGATAATCACAATGATATTAATAATAAGAAGAAGAAGCAAACACAGTATTCATGATACTAAGGGGCAGAGGAAGCATACGAATCAGAAGAAGAAGAGGCGGATTCGGAGGATCAGGAGGAGGTGGATCAGGAAGACCAGCGCAACCGAGGATGCACCGACGGTGCCGCAGCAGACCTGGCGTCCTTTCCACTGCGAGGAGCGCTCTCTTCGAGAGTTGCAGGACTCGCCTCCAAGAAGAGGGTCCGGCGACAGCCCCGTTTTTGGTTAAGCTTTGCCCTCCCTCCCCGTACGTGTTGCCCAAGCTTGCAGCAGCTGCCCTGCAGTTCGCGGGAGTCCGAAGCGATGGTCCTCTCTTTTGAAAACGAGTCGCTTTCCATCCGAGTAGCGGTTCCACACTTTGGAGTTTCGGGGCGCGGAGTTGGAGGACATCTGCAGTGGGAGCCGCAGTTCGACGGCGAGCCAGCCCATATTCTCGTAGCCGTGAGATCTGTAAAGCGATTGGGCACGGTGCCACGGCGAGAGTCGCGTTTTGAGAACTGCCAGCCCTCCATCCGTGCCGCTGTTTGAACCACCTAAGACCAGTGTGTACGGCGCTAAGGCGAGAGCCACAGTGTGAGAAACCACCGACCTTATATCCCTGTAGCTGTTGGAGGTTGTAGCTTCATGGTCGTAAGCTGTAGCGTAACGCCCGGCCCGGCATACGGACACGTCTGGTGGTGCCACAGGGGCACGTTATTCAGAAGAAAGAGGGAGGAGGAGAGGGAGGATCTTTCAGTTTTTCGATGTTCTATTGTTTTTTTTCCGCACCTTATTTGGAGGTGCCTGGGAGAGGAGGGGAAGGATGAGACGGATCGGGGAAGAGGCGAGACAACAAGGAGGAGGAGGAGGAGGGGGAGGACGAGGAGGAGGAGGAGGGAGTGGAAGGAGGGGCTGGAGGAGGGTGGGAGGGGGCGGCATGAGGAGAAGAAGGTCTTGCACGTCTTTTGGGTGGCCCTTTTGGACGTGAAAGCGCGGGGAATGTTTCCTGCCGTGTCTTTCAGTAACAGCGCTGAGGAGGAATATCTCCGTCGGGTGTTTGGTACTCTGTTGCAGGCGAGCGCCAGATGACCAGCGATACATCAAAGGCTGCGTGCCAGGCGACCAACTTGGCGACAGCTGGGGCCTGAACAAGACCGATACTCGTGTGTCGAATTGGTGCGCGAGTAGACGCAGCCATGCTGGACAAATGTTAGACAAACCGTAGTAGCTGTAAGAGCGAAGTTCAAGCATATCCAGGCGATTGAAGCATAGCGTGGAGGCAAGCAGATGGGGGCGATACGATGATAAGTATATCGCCGGACGACGTGCCGACCAGTCCCTGCCACATAGTGGAGAGGCAGCTGCCAGAGGATCACCCTGCACGCCAGGACACGACGAGTAGTGAACGACCATATGCTGACTATTCAACCAGTGCTGGGCGATGATCGTACAAGGGCAATGCGAGCAACACGCGAGATCACGCGGGCAGACTAGCAGTTATTCACAACGTTTGCCTGCATCCTGCTGCAAGACTATGCAGGTAGACGACTCCATGGACATGTCTTGTCGACTGCAGAGGGAGCGCTCGGCGTTGTGGATGACTATCCGAGGACAGTTCATCGAGTGAAGCATAGCACACCTTTAATTGTGTTTTAGTTTGCGATCAATGTTGGAGTGCCAGACGAGTCTCAGACACATGTTGCAGGAGTATCGATGTGGCACCGCGACTCGGACACGTTCTCTTTGTTCGCGGGCTCCACCAATGAGGCAACGCTGCCTAGAACGAGTTGCCAGCGGCGGACATGAAGTCGATTCAGACGAGCGCTGGATGTGCGAGGATTCATGCTCTCGTGTGCTCGACGGTCACTCGTTGAGTGTCCGCTTGGGCTGCTGAGGACATGGCAGCAACTTCACAATACCTCTGAACCGGCAGCAAGGGCCGCTCCGGGCGAATCTCTGGGCGTCTCTCGCGCAGGAGTGGCCGTGAGTGCCACATGCCGCAGCGGAGGTCGACGTGTTCTGCAGCGCGGCAGGTTGGCCGTGGTGCGATTCGGAAGGCGACCTGGCAGTCTCGATGCCGACGGCGTGTCTTCCTTTCCCTGCGCGCCGGGGGGGAGCGGCTACGCCTGGAGGAGGCCGTCCAGAAGTCGGGCCAACGTAGGTGACCATCTTAAGAAGAACCCCCCCGCGTCTGACCTTCAAGATGGCGTCAAGAATATCGCGGCTATCAGGGTGGCTGGGTTATGTTTCGGAGCGGGTGATCTCGTCACATGAACATTTCCAAGGCAACTTGGCAGTTTTGGGGTGCTCATAAAAGTTTTCAGTCAGGCAGTTTCTCTGCGCTCTCGAAGGGGTCATTAAGAAAGGGAGACAACCAAGGCAGGGACACATCTTCACACGCAGTTGAAGCCCCAAGGGGGTCGTCAGATTGAATCTCTGCCTGTGAGATTACGGTCGGATCGACGTACAAGATCGAGGTCGGTCCGGGGAGGGAATTCTAATGTTCTTCGTGTTTGTTTGATGTTCTTGTGCATCCTGGGGGAGGGTACCCTTAAATGTTCTTCAGTTTGGGCCGGCGGAGGGTCTCATGTTCTTGAAGGGTGTTCTTCTGTCCTGGGTCTGGCCGTATTTGTTTCCATGCACGTCCGTGGTGATAAAGTTCATCACATCAATGTACATTGATGTACCATGCCCGATGGTGGACAGCGCGGGCAGTACAAACGTCGTCCATTGCTTCCATTTGCGCTTGATTTTGCTCGCTTGTTTGAGTCGGGCCTTTTGATGAAGAAGGTGAAGGGTGAGGGGGAAGTTGAGGGTGAATGTGAGGATAGAGGATGACGTCGAGGATGAGGAGGTGGAGGAAGAAGAGGACACATAGTATATATGCAGGGGCCCTGCGAGTCGGTCCCTGGACCCCTCGCGGGGTCCATCCTAGCCAGTCTTTCGAGCTGCGTCCAGCCGAGGCGACAAGAACTTCAGAAACGCTCCCCAAAGCCTCCGCGACGACGACGACGATGACCTCGCCGCCCCTCAGAGCCAAACGCGACTCCGCGGTGCGGAGAGACCCGAGGCGTTCAGCTACGAGTGCATGGCGCGCCCTCGCAAGGCGCCGGGCCGCGAAGTCGGGCCCTGGTCCTGGAGCCGTCCAAATCCAGATCGCGGACAGGCAGTTGATCCGAGGGAAGGGGTCAACACTTCCTCCTCCTACTCCACATCCTCATGCTCCTCCTCCTGCTCCTCCTCCTCCTCCTCCTCCTCCTCCTCCTGGTCCTCCTCTGTGGCCCGCGGATTAAAAAAAAAGAGCAGCCCGTTGGAAATCTGTGCCCCTCCCCTCGTAGCCATTTCGAGCAGCATCGCCCGTGACCAAGAGCGACGCCGCGAGCGCAGCCACGCTCGCGAGGCATGCCATGGAGGATGCTGCGAGAGCCGTGCTCCCTCTCAGCTTCGCCGCGGCCGTCAGCGGCCTCGTCGTCACCTCCATGTTCGTCCTCGCCCCCTTCATCGTGATCGCGACGAGGGTGACCGACGACGTCAGGGCCGTGGGGTTCTACTCCGGCGCCGTCGTCTCCGCGTTCTACGCGGGCCGCATGCTGACCACGCCAGCCTGGGGCAGGCTGGCCGACAGGCGGGGGCCCAGCTCGCTCCGATCGCTCTGGTTCGCTATCGATCTCGGCCGGCTCGAGCCGATCCGACCTCGGCTTTCGGGCGATCCGAGGTGGCCCGATGCCAGCCTGGGGCCGACCCGGTTCGAGGTCAACTCCGTGCCCGGTCCGGCGCACGTTCTTATTCGACCCGATTTTTCCGGATTCGAAGAACAGAAACGGCATACGCAGAAACTTGTGGAGCTCCGCGCGGAGCTCCAAAAGTTTACGTTTACGCCGTTTTTGTAGACATAGCGGCGCACCGGGCCCTGTGGGCGAGGGCTGGGACCTGGACCACAAATGTGGGTACTGGGCTGCCCAGGGCCCTGCTGGAGCGCTGGGGGCCCTCCAAGATCGCCCGAAGACCGCCTCGGATCGCTCAGAATCGCGCTTCGAGACCGCCACAACGGCGTATGATGGCCCCCGGCTGCCCTCCAAGACGCTTACTATGGCCCCATGGCGGCCCAAGAAGCCCCAAGACGCCCCAAGAGTCCCCCACGAGGCCCCCCAAGAGGGCTCGAAGAAGCAAACGTTGTTTCGGAAAGCGTGTGTATATGTAGCATGCTCGTCTCGTGGGTTTTCACAGCGTCCGTGGCGGCCCACTGGGCTCCCAAGACGGGCCAGGAGGCCTCCTGGAGCCCCAGGACGGGCCCGAGAGGGGGTCCAGAGAAGGAGAACTTCCTTCAAATTTGAGCCTTCGGCCCCAAGAGGTCCCCAGGAGGCCCCCAAGAAGCGCCCAAGAGGACCCAAGAGACCCCAAGAGACCCCAAGAGACCCCAAGAGACCCCAAGAGGCTCCCCAAAGCCCCCCAAGAGGCCCCTTTGGAAGGGCCCAAGAGGCCCAATAAGTACTTCCAATATACCCCTGAGAGGCCTCCAAGTTGACTCCAGGACGCCCCCGGAGAGGCCCCCAACATTGCCTCCAAGATACCTCCCAAACGCTTGCGTTTGAACAAACGTGTTGCAAAACAAATGGTTAGTTGAATGATTTCGCGCTCCCCAATGGCGCGCGAGAGGGCCACGCGAGGCCAACTTCTTTGATTTCCTTTCGGTTGCTGCATGGCTTCGATGGTCCCCTTTCTCGATTTTTCTGCGATCCAAGACGCCAGAACGGGGCTCCCACAACCACCCCGAGACCCCTTCCGAAATGCTTTTACGTCTACACAGACGCACTGCAGCACAGCTCGGAGTGTCCATGACTTCGCGCTCCCAGGGGGCGCCCGACCGGGCCACGTGCGGCCAACTTCTGTGATCTTCCTTCGGTGGACGAGCTTCGATGGTCTCCCCGTCTCGAGCTTCCTGCGATCCATGACGGCCGAACGGCGCTCCCACGACCGCCCGGGACACCTTCCATTGTTTTGCCCCAGCGTCCAAACAGGCCCGAGAGGGCTCCACAAGACGGCCATACACATATCTATCGTTCTAGTTGTATACACATACGTAGACATGTATGCATACTTACACACCTCCATATGTACATATGGATGTATGCGTGCATACATGCATGCATGTATGTATGCATGTATGCATACGTGTATGCATGTATGAATGCATGTATGCATGCATGCATGTATGCATCCATGTATGTATGCATGCATGTATGTAAGCACGTACGTATAGATGTATGTACGTATGCATGCATGTATGCAGGTATACATGCATGCATGTAGGTAGGTATGTGTGCATGCATGTATGCATGTACATTTGTATGTATGTATGTATGTCTGCCTGCCTGCCTGCCTGTCTGTCTGTCTGTCTGTCTGTCTGTCTGTATGTATGTATGCATGTATGTATGTATGTATGTATGTATGTATGTATGTATGTATGTTTGTATGTATGTTTGTATCTATGTATGTATGTATGTATGTGCGTGTGTATGTATATATATGTATGTGTGTGTGTATGTGTGTGTATGTATGTATGCATGCATGCATGCATGCATGCATGTATGTATGTACATATGTATGGATGAATGGCTGTATGTAGGTAGGTATAGGTTTATGTATATACATGCATGTATGTATGCACATGTGTATGTGCGTATGCATGTATGGATCTATGTACGTATTGGTGTGCGTATTTAAAGATACATGTGTATCTATTTGTATATGCATCGAGTAGATCGCCCCACCTGGCTCCGTCAACTCCCCGACCATTTTTGGCACATTCGCGGTACCATCCTCCCAGGCGTCCAAAAGATCCCCGAGAGAGCCTAAGCCGGCCCAAGACGTCCCCGAGACAGCCCAAGAGTGCTCCAAGCCTGTCCAAGCTGGCCCCCCCGACGGCTTTCGAAGCTCCCAAGAGCACTCAAGATCGCCGCAAGAGGCTTCCAAGAGTCCCCCGAAAGCTCCAGGGAAGCCCTCGAGGTGCCCAGATCGTTGAAAAACCAGCGGGAAATCAATGCTTTCTGTTCCTCGCGCGTCCGCCCCCGACACGCTTCCCGGGCTTACGCAAGCCCTCCAAGAGAGCTCCCAGAGGCCTCCAGGAGGCGTCCCGAGTGGCGCGAAGTGGCCCCGGGAGGCCAAAAGAGGCACCCCATGACGCCCGAAGACGCACCACCGAGGTCCCAAAGACGCTCCAAGCAGGCCCCAACGAGCTCCCAGGAGCGGCCCCGGAGGCATCCAGCGCCGAAGAGGACCCCGAGAGGCCCTCAAGAGCTCCCAAGAGGCTCTCTGGAGAGCTCCAAGATGCTTCCATGAGCCGCTCGGAACGACTCTTGGGGGCATCTTGGAGCTCTCTTGGAGTGCATGCGCAAGCCTCGGAAGCGTGTCGGAGGCGGAAATGCGAGAACACGATTCGCAATTGTCTGCAGTTTTTGCAATGCTGTTGGTCTCTCGAGGGCTTCCCCAGCGCTCTTTGAGATCTCCTGGAGGCCTATTGGGGCGATCTTGGGTGCCCTTGGGGGCCTCCAGAGGCAACTTGAAACAAGGGGATTCCCTCAAGTCTTGTTTTGAAGTTCGCCCATCCCCATCCGTTCCCTCCTGTCCCAGGCTTTGGCGCGCCCCAGAGTGCGTTTCCGTGTTCCCCATCCCTCGCTGTCCGTTCTCCTTGGTCTCTCTCTCTCTCTCTCTCTCTCTCTCCTGCTCTTAGTTTTCCTCCGTCTCCCGTTCCGCATCCTTCATCTGCCTCTCCTCCTCCCTCCTCCCCGCTGCGTAATTGTCCGTCCTCCCTTTTCCTCGTCTCTCCTTCACGCCTTCCTCTCTCGCCTACTTCATGCGTTTCCGCCTCCCCATCCCTCATCCCCTTGTCTCCTTTACTCCTTCCTCCCTCCGCTGCCCTCACCCAGCATCCTTTGAGTGAAAGGAGGCCCAGCTTGAAAAAGAAGGGAATTTCTCACATCTTTTTTTCAGGCCGACCCCATTCGACATTTTGAGCCCAGACGCCAAGAGACCCGGGGAGGCCTCCGAGGCGCGCCCAAGAAGTCCCAAGAGACCACCAGGAGACCCCCACCAAAAACTGAAGCGACCCCACCCCCAGAAACCCCCAAGAGCCCTCCAAGAACGCCCCTCAAAGGCATCTAAAGAGACTCCCAGCATGATTTTCCCAGGCTGTGAGGAGTTCTCGGGCGTTCCCCCACAGGCTACCCTGGGTCCTCCACGCGGCATGATGTCCATCCTCATCCAGTCCGGTAAGTTGACGTGGACTGCGAAAGAACCTGAGGGCGCGCGAAGCGCTCGCACGTCGTTCTGGTTCGTTCTGGTTCCTGCAGGCGCGGGCGGCGGCGCACGCTGCAGGCCTCCCTGCTGGGCATGTCGGCGGCCACCTTCTGCTGCGGCCTCGCGGGCGACGTGCGGTGGATCCTGGCGCTGCGCTTCGCCGCGGGGTGCCTGAGCGCGGTGCAGTCCACGTGCCACGCCATGGCCTGGGAGCTCTCGGGCAAGCGCGGCACCGCCCTCATCGAGTCCGGCTGGACCCTGGCGTCCATGCTCGGGCCGGCCTTGGCGGGGCTCTGCTGGTGGATCCCGCCGCCGGCCGTGCTGGGCAGCAGGCACCGCCACTTCACCGCGTGCGCGCTGCTGTCCGCGCTGCAGGTTGCCCCGATCCCGTTCCTGCCCGCGGAGACGCTGCGGCCCACGGCGCAGCCAGGTCAGTACGGGGCCGTGGCTCCCGCCAGGGACGCCGCGGGAAGCGCTGAGGCCAGGGCGCCCGCCACGGCGACTCGGGAGGGGGAACGTGTGCACCACCGCAGGCCCCATTCCGATTCTATCGGTCGGGTCCTGTTTCCATTTCCACTTCCAGGGAGCCGATGCGGTCGGGTCCTGTGCTTGCACGGCGCAGCTGCTCATCCTTACGCGCCGATGCGACGATTCGGTGTCAGTTCCGTGCCGACGCAGCCCCTTTCAATGCGTGCTCCGATGCGATCCGATCTGTGGATTTGATGCCGACCGCCACCACCCAGCTCCCAGTGAATATGCCCGATTGGGGCTCAGGTATTGGGGAACGTTGGCTCCTGGCCTGGCTGAATCCACCGCGAATTCAGGCCCAACCTGGGACCGCGGAAGCTTCGTGGTGGTGGTGGTGGTGGTGGTAGATACCCTCCTCCTCCCTGCGTAGGTGATGCTGTCCATTATCTTGAACGGCGTCGGAGTTTTTGTCTCGTCGGCGGCCGATGAGCTGAGCATCCTGTTCGGGATCGGCACCCTAGGCTCTGGCGGTCTGCAGAGAGGGTGGTAGCACGGAGGGGCCACGACAGCTGCTGCGTGCAGGCAGCTCTGGCCCCGTTGCCAGGCAGCTTTCCCGGCACGCGACCTCTCCCAGCGCGGCGGGGCGTCTGGAGAGCCAGCTACTCGTGGCCCATCCGCGACCCCGCCCTCTGCTCAACCCTCGACTGCACCCCCTGGGCCCAGTGATCCTCGTCGTCTGGCTTTCGGGCCACGGCTCGGGCCTCTGCGGCCGCTCGGGACGGTCCGGGCTCCCCTGGGACCCTCTCGACGAGGCGCAGCGGATGGAAGCCCCACCCCGGGCCTCGGAGCGTGCCGAGAGCTGCAGAGAGAAGCCCCCGACGTGCGCAGGCCTCGGGCAGGACGCCATCAGCATGGTGTTCCTGCTCGCGGGCGCCCTGGACTTCTCGATGGTCCTCAGGACGCGTGTCGCATGGCGGCCAGCTCGCTTCTCGGTGCCCCCGTCTAGCTCTTGCGCTGGTGCAGCCAACTCCGCCTCGCCGCCGACGGGCAAAGTTTACCCTTTGCAGCCCCACCAGCAGCACGCAGCCTGTGCCGGCCCTTGCTGCACAGCCTGCGGCGGATCGAAGGGTCTCGGTTGACGGGCACACGTTGGCGCCCAGGCGCGTTCTTCGAGTAGGAGATCGACTACCGAATTGGTTTACCCCAAACGTGTTTTTCGTCAGCTCTAAGAGGAGCTGTTACTCTTCGTAGAGGTACGAAAATCCTGACAAATACATCAAATGTTGCATGCGTAAATTCTGTAGTCGATCTCGTACGCGAGTTCTAGCACACGTTGGCGCTGACACGCGATCTGAAGATGATCGGACTTCCTGCTGCAGAGCACGCTGCTGCTCTGGATCGTGGCGCGGTGCCCCCCGCTGACGCTCCGGCGCGCCGCTCTCGTGCTGTGGGCGCCCGCCCTGCTGTCCGCCCCTATGAGGGGACCTCCGCTGCGACCGCTAATCCTTGCCAGCTTGAAGCGTGTCCCTATCCCTATGCTGGGCATCACCTTACCCTGATGCCGACCTGACGGGTTCCCTGAGTTTCTGAGGGCACATCCCGAAGACTGTCCTCGCCTTGGGCTTGCCAGTCGTAGGGGTAGGGTAGGGATAAGCTCGAGGCTCGTTCAATCGGTCCTCCCAAACATGTGAGTTCCAGTCAAGACCCAGAAAGCCCAGGGCTCGCTACGGGGACCAGTCTCCCCCCAGACGAGCCAAACCCTTATGCAGCCCTCTGGGAAACCTCAGAAAAAAAGCATCCCAGAACCCTTCGGGGAGGGTTTTCGGAGGGTGTCGGAAAAGGTTTCGGTCGTTCTGTGGGAAAGCAAGTCCCTAGCGGTCCTCAGCGATTCTCGCTTCCTTGCTTTCTATTTCTTATGTTTCGCGGCTGGTGCTCAGCATAGTGCAGTCCCCTTTCCGTCAGTGAGGATCATCCGCGCGCTGGTCGGTTTAGGAAGAGCAAAACAGTCGCTAGCGATCCTAGGACTTTCTAAATCAAGGCGCTGAAATCAGGATCACTTTGGGCTCATCGAAAACGAAGAAATGCGCAAACATAAACTTTCGCAGCTGCGCGCCGATTGGTTGGATCGGCGCCTAGGTCCCCCTTGCAGCCTCCGGCGCCGCCCCTGGCACGTTCCCCGCGTCAGGGAAGGGGGTCCAGCGCCGATCCAAGACATCTGCACGAGCTTCCGAAAGGTTAGGTTTATGAAATTCTTTGTTCTTCTACACAGCCATCACCATGTAATCTGAATGACTTGGGGCTCGGGAGGAGCTCTGATTTTCGGGCCGTTTCTTAATTGTAGTTTGGGGGTCTTAGTCGTGTCCCGCATGGTAGCACGATCTCGTGATCTCCTGGATGTCGCGGCCATGATATGGATGCCGCGAATCCTTGACGCTTCTCGTATCCCCACCTGCCCATTCAGGCACGACTCACATGCGAGGTGCCCTGCCGCTTGGGGGCCTGCTGGGGTTCTCTTAAGCATAGGTCTGAGGATTTTTGAAGCCTGTCGGACTCCCGTGGGGATGTCGTGGGGCTCTCTTGGACGGATTTGACGCCTGTTGATACCACCCTTGACGCCAAGACATATCGCTGCTGTGTCCCGTCCAAAGGCGAGAACAGTAAACCGCTCAGAGGCAATTTTGGCTTTTGGACGATAGTGGCCTCTCAAGGCTTTCGCTGGAAGGCTCGGTGGCCACTTGGACCCGTCTTGAGGCGATCTTGGGGCCTCTTGGAGTCGCTCCAGAGACCGTCTTGAGCCACCATGGAACCAGCGTGCCCAGGATCCAAGACGGTCCAAGATGGCCACGAAGACGGCCAGAGCCTCATCGATGGCCAAGCCAGGCCGAATAGGTACAAGATATACATTGTCGTTATGCATTCGTTTGTGGTGTGTCGGTACAGTCGGGGCGCGCTGGAGAAGGAACCCTTTGCGTTGGGGAGGGGCTCGGTGTTCCTTGATTGTTTTACAGTTTGCCTTGGGCTTTCCTTAGGTTTTCCATGGGGAATCGAAGTTTAACTTATGGGAAAAGGGGGCCTCGTTCCTTATTTAGGGCTCCTTAGGTCAACGCCCCCACTGTATACATTGTCGTTATTGTCATGTTCGGTCTTCAGCGCACCGCAGGCCCCAAGGCAGCCCGCAGGGGGCCCCCAGAGGCAGCCCCACGACGGCCCGAGCTGCCCCCCCCCCCCCCCGCGACAGCCTACTGCGGGATGACGATTAATTAAACAAATGGGAGAGAACGAGTAAACAAATAGTTTTCTGCTATTTCTGAATCATTTGCTGACTGGAGGAGTACGATTAGAAAGAGCAGTTCTCCAGCCCGCGGCCAGTTTTTTCTAATCGTCATCCCGGGCGCCGCCGCGTGAACACGACCCCCGGTCATTTATGAATCGTCATCCTCCATTACAGAAGCCCCGTAACAAAAACCCAGGTCACGCCGAGGTCAAGCGTGCCGATCCCCACTTGGCCCCAGGATCGCCTCAACGGCCCCGAGAGGCACCGAGCCCAGCATAGCTCGCGAGGTCCCCCTGGAAGTCCCCGAAGGGCGTTCGAGGGGCCCCCGGCAACAGGCTCCTGGCAGGCACCGAGTCGACAGCATACCCCTCCCTAGATGCATTGAACCACCCTCTTCGCGTGGCTAGGCTGGGCTAGATGTGGTTTGGCGTGGGGCACGGGGAGTGGTAAACCCCTCTCCGAATTTGAAGAAGCGGGATTGACGAGAGGATCCGTTAAGCATCATACGCCCAGAGGGCTGGCGAAAGGTTGACGGATTTGGAAGTCGTTTTCTGTCACCAAGCGCGGAGGAAGTCCCGAATTGAGGCGCTGCGTTGCCAATCTTCCCATCCTGCGTCAGGACGGGTTCTGCCCGAGGGTCTTTTTTGTTTCGCTCACTCTCACGCATTCTACATGCTCGATATTTTGGAGCCAGAGGGGGATGGGGGTTCTCGATCGGCGGTCGTCACGGTGGTCTCTTACCCATGCTGCTTTCTGCAAAAATGCCGCTCAGAATTCGATTGGTGGGCCTGGCGCTCACAATATTGATCAGGAAAGCCACCAGCTACCTCTTCAATGTCGCGAACACAAGTCTGCTGAACGAGCATGTCGTAGCGCGGAATGCCCTGGGGACTGTGCATGGCTGGAGGCTCTCTTTTGCATCGTTCATGCAAGTCGCCGGGCCCTTGCTAGGCTCGGCTTTGTATGCATGGTCGGCGACGTCTGGGTCGCCATCTTCCCTGGGTGGCTGGCCTCCACCTCTGGGAGAAGGCTTCACTTTTTTGTGCGCGGCGATCTGCGTGCTGGCGATGGCCATCGCAGTCCAGGTACTGCCACTCAGTGCATGACAGTGCATTGTACATCGAGGGGCCAGGGTAGACACTTGGCTCTCGATCAATGTGCCTCCTCCTCCTCCTCCTCCTCCTCTTTCTCCTTTTCCTAACCCTCCCACTCCATCTCCATGGCCATGGTCATGGTCATCGTCGTCGTGCTGAGGTTGTATGCCGATTTCGCAGTCGCTATCAGGGACTGCAGCGGTGCTCACTTGATACGACGTGTCACGGGGTGGGCTGGGGTGGGGTGGTGTGACGCCTCGCCATCTGAAGTGCGCACGATTCAATACAGCTCGGCCCAGGCATAGGACGTGTGTTTGTTGGTTGATGGCCTGGAACAAGCGAGCCGAGATTTTGGACAACAAGTCGGAGGAACTTGGCAGTCCGCACGAAGATCACGAGCTGCCAGTTCGACATATCATGTTCTGATGTGTTGTTGTCCACCCGTGCGGCTTGAACCGAACGTTCGCGTGGCGGTCCACGTTCGAGGACTTCTCCCCAATCGCTGCTTCTCCTCCTCGTCTGTGCGCCTTGAGTCCTCGATATTTTAAGGGAACCAACATAAATCTCAACAATCCTGCACAAGCATGCGAGACACGCTCGAATGCTCCCGCACACATCTGAAAGCATACGCAAATCGCCGCAACGGCGGCCCCATGCCCTTTTCCTCCCTGCCTTCCTGCTTCTCCCCTCCTGGCCCTGGCTTCTCCTCCCTGGATCCCCTGCTCCCTTCCTCAAGGGGGGAAGGAGAAAGGGCCATCATGTGCCACACTGGCAACTCCGCCCTGGAAAGGGACAGCCTTCAGCAGCAGGAGGGCGCGAAACCACGACGTAGCAGACAGAGCGAAAAATGGAGGAGGGGGAAGGAGGAGGGGGATGGGGGAGGGGAAGCAGGATGAAGGGGATGTAGAGGAGCAGGACGCAGGCTCTCTAGGGCCCTCTTGGAACCACATTGGGCCATCGTGGTCTTATTCAATTCGAGTTTTACTGATCCTGTGGTCTTTCCGTGTTTTCCCGGCTGGGTGGCGGTCCGCGCCGAATGTCATTGGAAACCATTTCCCCCCAAACAGTGTTTGTATTTGGGGGTTCGTACTTCTGGAATAAGGAACTGGGCCTGTGCGTCGGTCTGGCGGCAAAGTTGTCGCCGTTGCTGCCCCGTCGCCGCCCATCGTCTGGGCCTGTGCGTCGGTCTGGCGGATCTGCTGTTGCCGTCGCCGCCCCGTCGCCGCCGTTGCCTCTCGTCGTCGCCGTTAGATGGCACCACACAGATTGCTCTGCGCTGCTTTGCGTTGCTTTGCACTGCGCCACATAGATTGCCCCCACGTCGTTGCACCGCAGACATTGCACCACATCTATCACACCACGTAGACTGCACTACATAAATCCACGTCGATTGCACCACGTATATTGCGCGCCACACAGATTGCACCGCATAGTTTGCACCACCTATCTTGCACAACATAGATGGCGCAATCTATACATATATATATATATACATATATGTATATAGATATGGCACCACATCTGCTCTCTTTTCTTACTAGAAATGAGATTCTACCCCCATGGAGTTATCCGTTCCCATTTCCGTATGGCAATTAAAATATAATTCTGCCCCATCGTCCTTCCCACGTATGAGTTCATACCATCCCAGCCAGGCCGGTACCGACCCCCCCCGTTATCCTTTGCAAAAAACGCTATGCACGCGCCTCGCTTTTCAAAAGCCAGCAGTTTTCAAGAATCCCGTCCCCTGCAAACATTGGGACGAAGTGCACACGCGCGCGTCGTCGCGCGCGCATGCCGAAATCCTTCAACAACTTTAGGGGTCGTAAGGATTTCAAG